TTGACGTAAATCACTACATGAAATCCTAAAGTATTTTTTCCCGCCTCCAATCCGTCGGATTCTACAAGCAATAAGCATGAGTCAGGATAAGGAAAAATATATAATTTTCTGAATGAAATTGATATTTTATACTTATCCTGACTCATGAGGTAAGCCCTCCCAACCTCCCCACTAGACACTTTTGATTTCCCTGCAAATTCAAGTGTCGGGCTCATAATCAGGAGAGAGTGAAGCGTGGGAGAACAGTGGCGCCACTTTTCCCGCCAAAACGGAAACAGGGATAACTCTGGTGAGTAGTGATTTTACGTATGTTTTATTGAAGGGAGCTTCAATAAGGAGATACAAGTGTTCCACTAGGTTCGCAAGAGGAAGAAGACAAGCAATAAGCATGAGTCAGGATAAGTATAAAATATCAATTTTATTCAGAAAATTATATTATTAACACTTGTCACTCAGCGTGGGGATTAGGATTTTATATCCTATCAACTTGATTCAACTTCAGTATTTCTTCAAGATCCATACAGACATACGTCATGCTGGTTTATATTATCCACAATGGGAATACGTGATTTATATCACTGAACAAGATTTTACACTTGGAGCAACCCTTATTCAAGAGGTTTACATGAGCGGCGTAGAATTACAAGCGCTGTTATTCAACCAACTAATTGCATCAGATTTTATGGAGGCCAACTTGCTACAACATTGGTGACGTCATACCTGAAGCTGATTGGCCCAAGTCAGACAATGCCTCCCACTGACAGCAGGCTCCAGCATGTTTTCTGATTTGTAAACAAACCCGTGGTACGGGGGGAATACTTCATCGGCAGCCTTGGAAACAGTATACAACTACGGCCTGTTATCATCATGGGAATCTAATAAATGTCTAGCCATGACAGCAAAATAAACAATGTTTATTTTGGAAGTTGTCGCTGATAAAAGTCGGTACGAGTACCTGTCCCCTGCAATGCTACACTGGAGCCAGCCTTGCTATAAGTAGACAACATTTCGATGTATGCTGATCAACACAGATCGCCTGCGTATATAAGGGGAAGAATGATGTATCATCACTGCAATCAGAGGTTAGCACTTCCAATGGAATGTCCTATCCTTTGGAATATCATCGGCTCTATGATTATTCATACGAATAACCAAGCATATCAGCACCTATCTGCAGCATCGAGGTCTACACAGTGCCCGGTTATCTGGACGACAGCATACAGGTTCTTCAAAGTGCCAATCAACTCAGACAGCAGCTGAACTTCACAATTAAGTTGCTCACGCAACTAGGATGGCTAGTGAACCTGATGAAGTTGGAGTTAGAATCAAACAAGATCTTCAATTGCTGGGAATAAGAATTATGACAACACAGAATCGAATTGTGGTCCCAGAAGATCATTGGGTCAAGATACAAGCCATGATTCCACAAGCAGTCATCTCTCCGTTAACACTACGAACATGGCAATGTCTACCTCGGCGCTGGACTTGACTCGCACAGGAATATTACAACTAAGGACGCTGCAACGGTTCCTGACAAAACATCTGGACAGCGTCGACCCTATCTTGCTGCCAGACAATCTTAAGAGGTACCTACTTTAGTGGACCCACAGGTCAAACGTCTGCGGAGGGACCTATTTGCAAGAGCTGGCCTTCAACACACATCTCGTAGACGCATCGATACAAGGTTGGGGTGCACTTCTCAACAATCAAGTTGCATCAAGGAAGTGGTCCAAACAGAGCAGCATTTTCACATCAATCTGCTGGAGATGAAAACTGTGATCAACGCCTTACAACTATGGTCGAGCTCGCTGATTAACAGAATGCTGATGGTCCACACGGACAACTCTACAGTGGCATTGTCCATAAATCGGCAAGGATCTACAAGATCACCTAGCCTACTACAGCTCACATTCCAGTTGTTTGACATCATGGAGGAGGCAAACATCTGGATAAAGGCGTGTCACATACCCGTAGCCAAGAACGTGCTTGCAGACGCTCTCTCCCGACCACTGCACCCGTCACCTACGGAATGGATACTCCATCCAGAAGCATTTCGGCTCATCATAAGGGAAATAGGATCCCCATGCATAGACCTGTTTGCCACGAGGTTCAACAAACAACTACAGACGTTTGTCTTACCAGTTCCAGATCCTCAAGCCTGGGCAACAGATGCACAGAACATATCATGGGAAGGACTAAACACTTATGCGTTTCCACCACTGATATTACTACCGAAAGTACTGTTGAAGATCAAACAGACACAGAGGCACTACAACTGACCTTGGTCACGTCATACTGGCCAGCGAGAGTATGTTTCCTAGACATAATAGAAGATCTTGGAAGTCCAACAATCAAGTTACCAGATTGGCCGAACCTACTCATACATCCGCACACCAAGTAAGTCCACAGGAACCAAACACTGTTCCAGCTACACGTGTGGACCGTATCAAAACATGTTTTGAAGAAAAGAGGATACTCAGCCAGGGCAGCCAAGGCAGAAACGCTAGGGTTACGCAGATCTACTCGTAACCTGTATGATGACAAATGGCTGAAGTTTGAGACTTATGCAAGGCGGAAAGGCTTCACTGCGATGAAAGCTACTCATCCACAAGTGGCGGAATATCTGTGTCATCTAGACCAGACTACCCTCGAGCTGCTGACACAGAAGACTCTGTTCCTGCTTATGCTAGCTACGGCAGCTGGAATATCAAAGATACATGCGCTGGACTTCGGTCGAACCATATTCGACACGGGGCAACATGCTGCAGTTCATCTAGGACTTAGATGGGACTTCATTGCCAAGAACCAACTACCTGGTCAGCCAGATAGACAGTTCCACATACCAGCGCTATCTACAATCCTCGGCCCAGAGGATGTAGAAGACCTATCCTTGTGTCCGGTCAGAGCCCTGAAGATTTATCTTCAAAAGACTGAGACAAGGAGACAAAAATTCAAGTGCCTGTTCATCCCATTATCAACAGAGACTTCTGCTAAACAGAGACTTCAGCAGAAGTCCCAAGAACGACCATATCGTTCTGGATGAGAGCCGTCATATTGAGAGCCTATAAAGCAGCAGGACTAGAACCTCCAAGAGCTTCCAACCCACACGAAGTCAGAGCATTGGCATCAACACTAGCTCTGCATGGAAATTGCTCTATATCAGCAATTATGGCGGGCTGCTTTTAGAAGTCGGACACGGTGTTTGCCAACCACTACCTTCGAGACATAGCCACTGAAGACGTCTCAGGCATTCACCAATTTGGGCCTCTTGTTGTAGCACAGCTACTAACGGCTCCACAAAGGCGCTGAGTTGGAAAATCTCCCCCTTTATCACATTGACTTGTTGATAACTTTTACTAAAGAAAAGAATTAGTTTGAAAGTCCATGCGCACAGTCTAGGACAGGGTAGCATGTGTGATTAAAGATCCTGTACGGGTAAAGATCTTAACTGTACGAGAAGGGGTCGCAACTCATTTATGATAAAGATCTTATCATAATCTATGGGTTGGTATGAGATATCTAGTAATAGGAAGATACTAGTTTATCTGTAGCCACATGAATCAACATGATTCAACTTGTCTGAGACTGAAATAAGACAAGAAAGTGGTCCCCCCGAGTTATAATGGAAGTTGGAAGAATAGGATCACGGAAATGCTGTTTCGTAGTTCCCATGGGGGGATACAGGACGTATCTAAGGACAGCTGATGAATCCTGACTCATGACGAGAAACCCTCCCAACCTACCCGTTGAAACAGTATAAGACTGAACCTTGCCACTCCACATGGTCACATTGTTGTACATACCCCTGTCACACAATATCAGTTGAAACCAAATGGCGACCTTTTGCAATTTATCTTACCTTCTCTAACCCGCTAGTTTCACTGATCTGGAAGGGCCACCCTCATACTGACAGCGCATGTTGAGCTGTACATGCTGTTATTACACTTAGAGACAGTTAACCCGTACCTTCTCCTTTATCAGTTACAGTCATGCTGGTGTATGGACATGATATATCACAATGTGTGAAGCCCATTTCTGGTGTCCCCTGCCGTGATATTGCTGGAATATTGCTAAAAGCAGCATAAAACCAAAACTCACTCACTCATTCACATGATATATCAAGTGTTAGGTCCTGAATCATTTGTTCCCTGATTCCATCATACCTCAGGGATAATCATGGTTGCTTGTATTTATAACACTCATTCATGGGCACAATGTGTGAAGCCCATTTCTGGTGTCCCCCGCCGTGATATTGCTGGAATATTGCTAAAAGCGGCATAAAACCAAAACTCACTCACTCATTCACATGATATATCAAGTGTTAGGTCCTGAATCATTTGTTCCCTGATTCCATCATACATCAGGGATAATCAAGGTTGCTTGTATTTATAACACTCATTCATGGGCACAATGTGTGAAGCCCATTTCTGGTGTCCCCCGCCGTGATGTTGCTGGAATATTGCTAAAAGCAGCGTAAAAGCAAACTCAGTCAGTATAACACTCATTATACCTAAGTACAATATGTTACATGTAAAAACATAAAGAAATGCATAAAACATATCTACATAGAATGATTGTGACATAAAAACTGACCTAAACAATAACCTACTTTCCAGTATTCACACCTAAACTGAAACATTTTCATTTTTGCTCTGTGTTTTAGAGCAGTATGCATTAACTGCATTGGACAACATAGTCACCTGATTAGATAAGTCAAAATGGTTCATGATATATATCCCTAGTGTTTTGTTTTCTGACATTTGATGAAAAGGGATAATCTGGTCTGTAGCTGTTATGTTAAATTGCTCATATCTTGACATGAATAAATGACTGACATTGTGATTTACATGGAGCTCTTTAGGTCTACTCAAATTTAGGTTGTAAAAACACTCGGTGTCATAGTGTTTTAAAGAGGAAACAAATTCCAGTGCAGTGAATATGTATATATTGCTGTTGCCTGCCAGCTGTTCCTTTACTCTGATGCTGTATGTCTTCTTCAGGAAAACTGCCCTGGAGGAGGAGGTGGAGTACCAGCAAGGGGTCGTATCTAAACTCAAGGCAGAGCTGAGGAAGCTTCAACAAAGCTACGACTCATCAAGTGAGTTTGTACTTTGGCTTGTTATGTGGTGTAGGGCAGCCTGGCTTCCTGGTATGGGTCGAATTCCAAGCCCATCACTAGGAACAAACAGTATCGACTTTGTGTATGGACTTGACTTTTCAGTTTATTGCCAACATCCCCAGGATCATAATTGGTTATCAGGGTTTTACTTTGACTCACAAACATGGGGGGCCAGGGAACCCCCAATTGTTAGTTCTTTTTCATAGAGATCGTCCTTGGGGTACATATATGCATTTTCTGCGGCTGAAAATGTCCTGTGACAGTTGTATCAATGTTTTAATAAAAATATTGTACAATAAATAAAAATCTTTTTTATCTATTATACGGCCCCCACCTCGTGGAGTTACCTCCCGCTACGCATGCGCAGCCAACCAGGTAAGCACCTAGGCCCGTATCATCATTCCTTCTGCTGTCACTCCTGTGAACGGATGTGCCGAGTAGTGCTGAACTCTTTCTGTAAACAGAAGTTAAAGAGAATAATGTCTGGGACACCACCACCTGTATGTATGGTCTTTATTTTGTCCTTGAACGGAACAGTAAAGCTTTGCGGTCGGTTGTCTCATAATTGTGACTTTGTATTCTATATTTTACCCTAACTTTCCCGTGGTTTATGCACGTGTTGCTTTGCCATGGCGGGAAGTTTAGCGTGCCACGCGGTTGTCATATTGCGTTTCAACCAAGTATTTCTTCCCGTGGTCGCATTCTCGTAATTTTCAATGTTTTGTACATGTATATTTATGCTGCTGGCTCCGCTGTTAGCTACATGCTTGCGTGTTTGCTTTCAGGCGTTTTCCGGTTGTACTGTCTGCGGACAAAGTATACCCCGAGCGGACAGACATGACAAGTGTCTCGTTTGTCTAGAGAAAGTCGGACATAATCCCGACACATGTGAAATATGTATGGGCTTCTCCCCCCGAGCCCAGAAGAGACGGGCTGCAGATTTCCTCTTTTATAGGGAAATGTGAGAGGCGGGAGAGGAACTGACCCAGGTCCCCCCCGTCTAAAGCCAAAAAACCCAAAACAAAAGGCAAAAAGGCTAAGTCGCGCAGTCAGGCGTCGTCTACTGCTCCCAGCGGTTTTGACATGTCACTTATCACACAGCTTTTTCAGCAGCACATGGACTCCGTGAAGTCCCTTGTTCACGAGTTGGTTGGAGGTCTCCGCCAGGAGTTCCTCGCCCACTCGGAGCAGGGGACGGAGAGTCCGGGGGTGGGATCACCGAGCCCGGCTCGATCCCTTGGCCTGGAGGCGTCTGTTGATCTGTTGCCTCTGGCTTCGGGTCCGGACGCCTCGGCTTCCCCGGAGGGGGAGGGTTCGCTCCCAGTCCCCCTCTCGGTGTTGGCGCAGGGTCCGTTGAGGATTCCTGGGGTTCCGGTCCCTGCGCCGTCCCGCCCCATGAGAGTGGAGGAACCAGTTCTGCCTGGTATTCCTCCAGCGTCTCGGGACCGGGGTTCGAGTGTGGTGTCGGGTGCTGAAGCGGGGTGCTCCTTCAGCTCTTCCCTTCCCTCTGTGTCTGGTGCCAGGCCGCCCACCGGGTCGGGGTTCGGGTCCTCTTTGCGAGGAGACCCAGCCTCTGACTCGGGCTCGGGTGCTGAGTCCATGGACATTGGGGAGGTCGAGGAGCAGGAGGGAGCCTTCCGTTTTTCGACGGCTCTGCGGGAGGTACGGCAACGCATTGCTGAGTTTATCCCCCAGGCCGCGGTGCCTACCAGCCGCTCGGACTCGGCTGAGTTCCCCCTGCCAGGCGAGGCGTTTGTCCCTAGGTAACCCTCGCAGACGCTGCTCCGCATCTTGCCGTCCCTGGTGCAGGACGTGATGGATCCCCTCCTGGTTGGGACACGCCTCCGCTTTGACTTGCCTGAGCTTGTCAAGAGGTACCAACTGGGGGACGATTCCCTGTTCTTCATGCCAATGGTCGATGAGTGTGTTTTCACCTCGGTCGCCCTGGGGGGAGGCTCGGCTTCCTCCGGAGCAGCTCCGGCTGCCAGGCAAGGGCGTTTGGTGCCACCTTTTGCCCTCGCGGGCGCCCCCCCTGCAGCAAGCTTACCGGACCTACGAGGAGGTTTACCGGTATGCTATGCAGCAGGTGCGGGTGGTCATCCACGAGGCCTACCTCTCCCCTATTCAGAGGTCGGCCCTGGAGGCCGAGGGGCACGCTGGGGACGTTTCTCCGCATGTCGTTCTCCTCCGCCAACTTTCCGAAGTTCAGGCCCACCTAGCGCGCGACTCCTTGCGGTCAGTGGCGTCTACGGTGATGTGCGCAGTCATTGGGATGCGCAAGCTGTGGCTGTCAACGTCTCGCTACTCGGCAGCTACACAGCAGACCTTGCTGGCCCTTCCCTACGGTCTGGGAGCGACGTTGTTTCCTGGGGCACAGCAGGTCATACGGGAGGCTGCCACTGCAGTTACCTCCTTCAAGGATTCTAAGGCCTTGTTGGAGCACCCGCGGGCTTCTCGCCACCGCGCTCCCGTTCCGGCTTCCTCCTCCGGGGTGCAGCCTACACCGGAGTCTGCCGGCTGGCTTCGGCTGCTGGGCAGGGGTCGGCGGAGGAGCCGTCCCGCCAAGGGTAAGGGCAAGGAGCAGTCCTCTTCGTCTGGCTCGTTAACCCATCAGGCTGTCGCCATGGGTCCGTCCCAGTCAGCTCAGCTACTCGGGACCACTCACGCCCTCTTACCACACGTCCCAGTGGGAGGCCGCCTCTCTCTATTCCTGCCGGAGTGGGAGAAGGCTACAAGCAACACTTGGGTGCTGTCCACCGTCAGTGTCGGCCATCTAGCACTGTGGAAGCGAGGTCCGCCAGAGTTCACCGGCATACGTCGCACTCCGGTGCCGTCATGTCAGGTCCGGGCGGATATACTGCGAGACGAAGTTCAGGCTTTGCTGGACAAGTCCGCTATAGAGCGCATACCACCGGGCGAGGAACAGGCGGGATTTTATTCCACGTACTTCCTCGTTCCGAAGAAAGACGGGGGGTTCCGTCCCATTCTCAACCTCAAGGGGTTGAATCGCATGCTAGAGGTTCCATCCTTCAAGATGGAGACACTTCGCTCGGTGATCTCCTCTGTTCAGCCCGGCGATTGGCTCACGTCAATCGACCTAAAGGATGCGTATCTGCATGTGCCCATACATCCATCGTTCAAGCAGTACCTTCGGTTCTCTTACGACGGGATGAATTACCAATTCACGGTGCTCCCCTTCGGCATATCCACTGCCCCCAGGGTGTTCACCAAGCTCATGTTAGTGCCAGCTACCCTCGCTCGATCGCAAGGAAGCGTTGTTACCCTTACCTCGATGACTGGTTGCTCAGCGCGCTAACACAGCCAGCAAGCCTAGATTCTACTCACACAGTGATAAACATTGTAGTTCAACTGGGATGGATCATCAACCTCAAGAAATCCGACCTGATACCCACCCAGGACTTGTTTTTTCTCGGGGCGAGGTTCCAAACTCACAAGGATCTTGTTTCCTTGTCGCCCGACCGGGTCACCAGAGTACGGGAGATGGTGTCTTCGTTCCTCTCCCAGCCCCAGGCACCAGCACAGACTTGGCTCCGTCTACTGGGCCATATGGCGGCGACTATCTCTGTACAGTCTCTGACGCCAGCTCTTACAGTTCAGACCGGTGCGTCCCTCACGGGCTGGGGGGGTGTTCTGGGCAGTCTGTCGGTGTCCGGACTCTGGTCCGAAGCCGAAGCCCGCCTTCACATCAACGTGTTGGAACTGAGAGCTGTGCGGTTGGTTTTCGAGCGCTTCCAAGAGCATGTCCAGGGCCTTTCTCCTCTGGTGCGACCAGTGCGATTGCCAGGTACTCCCTGTTTATCTCCCGGGGCTGGAGAACGTGCGAGCAGATGCTCTCTCTCGCTGGATCCTGGCCCCGTATGAGTGGATGCTCGACCGGCAGATATTCGGAGTTCTCTCCCAGTTGTACGGATCATTCCAGGTGTATCTGTTTGCGTCCGGCGGGAGAATCAGATACCCGTGTTCTGCTCTCGAATACAGGACCCGAGGGTGTTAGCTGCTGACGCCTTCCTGCTGGATTGGACGGGCAAAGTGCTCTGGGCGTTCCCGCCGTTACCACTCATTCCCCGGGTCCTCTCCCAGCTGTCCACCCAGCCAGCTCGGCTGCTTGTGCTACTGGCACCGCTTTGGCCGTCACAGAGCTGGTTTCCGGTAATTCTCAGGTTTCTGGCTCAGCCTCCTGTTCTATTACCTTTGCGACCGGACATTCTCACTCAGAACGGCGCGCCATACCCCAATCCAAGGATTCAGTGGGTGGCTTGGCCTCTGTCAGGTCTAGCCTCGAAGCACGCGGAATTCCTGCAGCAGTTGCAGACACAATTCTGGCTTTGAGGCGGGATTCGACAAACGTTCAGTATGAGGATAGGTGGTCCCGCTATGCGCGCTGGTGTTCAGATAGGGGGATTGCAGATCCCTTTTCTGCGGATTTAGTCCGAGTATTGGAGTTTTTGCAAGCTCGTTTGGAAGAAGGCCTGGCGGCTTCGACCATTCGTGGCTACTCCATTGCTATTTCCACTTTTCACACCCCTGTTGATGGTGCTCTTCTGGGGCAGCACCCTCTCGTACAGCGCTTTTTAGCTGGCGCGGATCGGGTTCGACCTGCTGTCAGGCGAACCAGTCCACCTTGGGATTTGTCAATCGTGCTAGATTGGCTGTCCGGTCCTACGTTCTCACGTCTATCGGCTATTTCCATTCAGTTGTTAACATGGAAGGCTGTATTTCTGGTGGCGGTAACATCTGGGCGTAGGGTTGGTGACTTACATGCTATGTCGTCCGACCCGGCGCTGACTGTGTTCCACACAGATCGTGTCAGTATTCGCCTCCCGGATACTTACGCCCAAAGGTCGATCACTCTTTCCATGTGACAGCTCCTATCGAACTTCCTACTCTTATCCAGCCTTCCACATCGGGGACCTCTCCTATGAGCACTCGCCCGTTGGATGTCCGAAAGCCTCTCAAGGTCTATATCAAACGAACACAAGGGATCCGTACGGGTACCCATCTGTTTTGCTGTTACGGTGGTGGGAAGGCTGGGGTGCCAGCGAGCAAACAGACCCTGTCTCGCTGGCTTGTCTCGGTCATTTGTGCTGCTTATCAGGCTAAGGGCAAGCCTCCCCTGAGGGATCAGGGCAGTAGCCACGTCAAAAGCTTTTGCATCGGCACTCCCCATTGAAGAGATATGCTCTGCCGCTATTTGGAGCCGGCCTAGCACTTTTATCAGGCACTATCAGCTCGATACACATTCACATGATCGTGCGCGCTTTGGCCGTTCTGTTCTCTCCAGTGGACAGTGTCCTGCCACCCTGACCAAGTGAGTCTTGGTTATCTGGTTTAGTTGACGCTGCTTTTCAATACTGTGTTTTATTGATATGTCCGCTGCTGGGTGTATAACCTCCTTTCGATTCTCTACGGAGATTATGGTCGGTAGTGAGTGTTTTTCCCCCCCTAGGGTGCTCTCTAATAGACCATAAGGTGGGTGGGGTTTGTTTACGTTCGCACTATGTGCGTTCTCATTATGCTAACCTGCGAGGTCCACTCTCAGTACCTTTCCTCCCTGTCGGTTACCCTCCCATAATGCCTCTCGCGGAAGCTCAAAACAGGACATGTGACGGGTGAGTGATTGTGGCGTCTGTTACATTATTCAGATTAACAATCGCTATTTGTGTGTACTTTGACAGAATTCCCTCCTCCCTGGCCTCCGGTCTTTGGGAGTCTGTGTTTATGCATATATGTACCCCAAGGACGATCTCGATGAAAAAGAATTAACCAAACCTGAAGAGGTTTTCAATTCTTTGCAGAGAGTCGTTCTTGGGGTAGAGCCGCCCGCCTCCCCGCCCAAATTCTGTTCACTGATTTATTCAGTAGAAGGAATGAAGATACGGGCCTAGGTGTTTACCTGGTTGGCTGCGCATGCGTAGCGGGAGGTAACTCCACGAGGTGGGGGCGTATAATAGATAAAAAAGGTTTTTATTTATTGTACAATATTTTTATTCAAAAACATTGATACAACTGTCACAGGACATTTTCCGCCGCAGAAAATGCATAAATGTACCCCAAGGACGACTCTCTTCAAAGAATTGAAACCCTCTTCAGGTTTAGTTAATTTAAGGGGTCCTTGCAGGCAATATGAGGTGAAATAGTCCGGTGAAGTAACAGTCAAGAGAAGTGTACTTTTGATAATTTCTGCAGAGCCTGGAATGAATCATTGACTATATGGAATGGTGGATGAAATGATGCACATAACTGCTTTGAAAGGAACAACCAAACACTTAACAAAGTCATAGATGTGTTGTGGGTACAGCACATTCGCTACATTTATACATACTGGATGATCATTTGCACGTCGTGTAAAACCCTGGGTGATGTTCATGGAAAATTAGAAATACATCACTTCTGACCAATGTGTGCTTTGAGTGATTATGGAAGACAGGAGGCTGGGTTGCACATTCAGTGAATTATTTAATGCATAAAATGTCAAGGAGGGACGATTGTCACATGAGGCATTATGCAGCAAGACTATACTATCCATTGAGAGCCATGTTTTTATGCTCAGATTGTCAAAGATCTGAACGTTTCTCCACAAAGAATGTCTGTTACCAATTCTAGATTTAATCAGAATGAAAACTTCGCACCTTTGGATAATCAGCCTCAACCTCTAGGATGCATATCTGGACATATTATCCTGGATCCAGTCAAATTTCTAGAACTACCAATTGGCATATCCATTGCTGCACTGTTCACTCACATTACAGCTTCTGTCATTAGTTTTGCTCATGTCCAATGAGTACATCACAATAGATATATCAGCTCCGTTCAGGACAAAACCCAGCTTCACCAAAAACACAATGTCTGATTCCTGATTGACCAAACTCAAATGGAGACAACCCAGTAAAGTATATGTATTTATATCAGCCACAGATTAGGGATTCACAGAGGAATTTTGTGTCGTCCGTAGAATCATAACCTCAAGATGCTGTGAATTTTAGTTGGCAGATAGCCCAACCACCCATTTTGTGGCAGTTGTTACTAGGAAGTCTGGCATCCCAATAGGACATGACTTGCTGAGGGATTTAACCCTCATCCAATCAAGGCTTGTATGAATTCCAGTCACCAAAGTTAAGTACTATTCAAGTACATGCCAGAAAATCGTCATCACAGACATTCCACTGGTAATGACTCAGTACCTCATGTAAACCCATCAACCTCATCAGTCTACATCAAACTAAGGCAAAGCAGCCTACACACTACACACCTTCACTCCGCGAAACTATCACACTGAAAATGCCCACTGAGCTCCATCCCTCTGTCCGAATGATGGCCACAGATTTTCTCAAAAAACGTTTTAGATAGGGAAACCAAATTTGGAATGTGTTTTCAGGGCATGAATGCCTTGATGGAGTTTGAAAACGGAAACTATGTTACAATTTGTTACAGAGTTGCGGCCCTTGTCATGCATTTCTTGACTTAGTGCACGGTATCCCCTGTGGGAACAGTTTTTCTCAGAAACCATTATAGATAGGGAAACCAAATTTGGTATGTGTTTTCAGGACATGAATGCCGTGGTGGAATTAAAAATCAGGAACCAAATAAGAACAGAACACTGTGGTGGGGGATATTGATGACCATGTCTTCATGTTTGTTGTTGCAGTTGCCGTTACAGTTGCAGCGTCCACAGAGAAACAGGAAGTGAGCAGCCGCAGTGGTATCATTGACCAGTTCAAGGTGTGTATCCTAGAGGGAGAGAAGAAACAACTGCAGCTCCGTGTCAAGGAAGATAAGAGACAGCTTACTCGTTGCTACATGCAAATCAAGTCTCTTGAAGAGGAAAATGCTGTTCTCAAGAAAAATGTGTATGTTTAATCATTTCTTTCAAATGATGAATGAATGAATGGATGGTTGGGAGGCACAATTTCATTTGTTCGTTTTTGATTTAATAAAAATATTCTTTATGAATGATCCACACTCAATATTTAACACATTACCCAATGTGTGATGTTTTTGCTTGTGTTTGGAGGATCAGGGTCTAGGTGTGAAATACAAAACAAACTTGTGTAAACAGTACAAGGCAAAGCAATTCACTTAGCAGCAGAGTTGTGATGCTTAGGTTTGTCAGAAACCAATGACCCCTGTTAGCTGACATTATGTTTCTAGGTGTTTGTCAGCACCATAGCTGTGCTGCTGGGTTTCACCACAGTGGTAAACATCTGAAACTTGCATCACTTTCTTTCTATATCAAGCTGACACAGTGATTTAACTGTGACTGGTTAAAACCATTTTACTTATGATCTTAAGGCAGACATTAGAAGATTCTTGATGAATTGAGGTGAACAAAAAAGGTTATGTCAAAACATGGCGTGTGGTTTTTTTCAAGATCACAACATTTTTAGTGTACAACATGAGAGCTATATTCTGTATTTTCCACGTGTCGGGGTCACAATGTAAAGGTTAGTTGGTTATTTTGAGTAAATATTGATTGATGCTTAATTGCAGCACATTCTTTATTCTTTAGGATCTGTTATTTACATATCTTGCAAGAGTGAACATCATCCATATAATAATCTTATGTTTCAGGATTGGTACACCCAAGAAAATAAAGCAAGAAGACGAAGATAAAGGTATCTTGTCAAGGACTGTCATCACATTACTGGCCTAACTATGCCAGACAATTATTCTCGTTCTGTACATCTTGCTTGTCACAGCAAACATTATGTCTCATTAAACATGGTGATACCTGCGCTCAACTGTTCATGAATTGAGTGCTTATGGCTACCTCAAAGACAGTTTCACAAATATACTAGTGGTGGGGGGGTGGGTGTCCTGTGCACCATAACAAAATCACAAACTGTATTTGCAGTGAATTTTTCAGAATCATGCATGTTAGGCACATGGGTCATGAGTACCCATGATAGCTCTGAGACTGTGCATGCAGTGTCACACATTATCCGTTCACATAGGATTGAGGCAATCCAAATAGAGTAACTCTGTGACATTTTAACTGGGAAAAGCAAATACACGGTATGTAAATATCATTCCATACCTATCTGAAAATGAGCATTTGCGTGTACTAGAACGCTTGAAATCAGAATTGCAAAACATGGTTGTGAGGCATTTTGGTGTTCATTGTAACACCACTTTAACAGTAGTGACTAACAGACTGGCAACACTGTTCATGTGTAACATATGTTGGCAAGATGATTATGTCTAACTGGTTCACCCTAAAAATCAGTTGACTAAGTCCCACTGGATAGTGAGGAATCAATTACAGGAGCATTACATCAGACAAGGACATCCAATTTTGATACCATATCATCCACCTACAAGCCTCTCATAGTCAAGACAGAAGCTGTGGGTGAGGGTCAGGTTACAGGACTGAAAGTCAGTCCTCTTCACAGATAAGTCTGGGTTTTATCTTAACAGCTATGATGGCTGTCAGCGTGTTTATTGATGTCAACTGTAACATTATGTGTGTTACATTTGGTGGTTGGAGCATCACTGCCCATCACATCGATGACAAACTGACAGGTACAGAACCAGGAACAAGTGATCCTTCCTCACACCCTGTGGTGTCTTCACACCCAAGTTACATCACATTGCAGCAGAGGTCACAGACTTCAGTGGACAACTCCCTTGGCCTTCTGTTTCTCCAGATCAGTTGTCCATCAAACATGAATAACGGAAAGGTTTATTTCCAAACCAACCAGCGATGTTAGCCCAGATATGGACTTGTCGTCAGTGGGGCAACTGCTAATGTTGCTTGTGCCACTGCTTATGTTGGTAATATCCAACTTGTGAACCGACTTTTGACCCCCTGGCCACTGTCAGCTTGAAAGATATTGGACATATGTTGACACTGTCATGATGAAGTCATGTGTCATGGAGAGCAAGATATTGTTGTGTTGCAAAATCAATCTTTGTAGGTCAATGTTCACATATATTTGTAATTTCCTATGACAGTAATGCCCGAGAACATTTTCTATTAGAATCTGAGATATTTTCATGTTTATAACCAAACCACTGAATACTTATTTCCAGTAACATGAAAGTGTTGAAATTAACATTAGTAAAATTATTCGGTAAAAATGATTAAGTAATTTGTGTTTGAATTCTTTTTTCAATGTTTATTGTTCTGTCCTGTCGACAGAAAGTCCAGGGCTTGACTGGAGCCTGTCAAAACTTTTCAAGAAGCGACGTTCACTGAGTTATGAAGACGTGAAGGAAAAGGCCGAAGCAATCAGGAGGAAGAATAATGAAATTCCCCTCAAAGAGTCATCAAAAGGTATAAATGCACCGACACAGTTACACCCTGCATTGTATACACAGACTCTCTATTATCGAAGCATGTGAAAACATCAGGAAGGCAAAGACGCCACACCCAACATCGGCTGTTTACATATGCAAATTACATTAAAAAATTCATCACTCCAGTAAACGTGGTTTATTCCAGTGGAATGCTACATCTAATCATAGGTAAAGTAAATCTTTGCCGTAAGTTCTGGAATATTTTGAAACTAGTTTGACCCCTAAAACCATTGCTTCTTGCACAAATCAAGACTTATTTCGTCAAGAGTATTCCTGTGACAACTATAAGGTCATCTGCATATTTACCGTCCTAAAACTATAACAGGAAGTGATGTATTAGGCAACTTCACACTGCACAGTGAAATTCTACATTTCATGGCAGGCGAAATCTTGGTTAGAAAACACTGATTACAAACAAGATATTATTTACAGTGCATTTCCCTTTAAACTAGGCCCTTTTCACCTTGTGCAGTAATCAATATTATGTTTGTCGTAAGAGGTGACTAACAGGATTGGGTGGTCAGGCTGGCAGACTTGGTTGACACATGTCATCATTTCCCAATTGCGCAGTTTGCTGCTCATGCTGTTGATCACTGGATTGTCTGGTCCAGACTCGATTATTTACAGACCGCTGCCATATAGCTGGAATATTGCTGATTGCAGCATTAAACTAAACTCACTCACTCACTGTAGTCACATTAAGGCTATATCATTGTGAATAGTTTATCAATTGCATACATTTGAGCAAAGCCAAAACAAGTTTAAAGTGATTGTAGATTAGTCAGTGTTGAGAGTTTATTTTATAAAACTGTTAGTCTGTCAGAGAAATATACTTAAAACAATATATGCATGCTTGCTTTAAGGACTGGTGATTTATAAGGATGGAGAACACTGTGTATTTGAAACCAGCAAACTTATATCCTGTCAAGTCATAGTTGTCATCTGATGAAATGGTCTTAACTATAACAACAATGTGACAGCAAGTGTGGAAGTGTTATATGCATTTGGTGGTCAGTCAGATTATATGCTGACAAATATAAACCTCAACATCAAATAATAAGTCAGAAATAGTGCACCATATGAAGCAGGGGGGTCTCCATTATGAAGGTTTACAAGTTGGAGTGTACGTCTGTCATGAAGCATTTAAAAGGAAGTACAGTGACTGAAATATATGACTGAATGGTTAAACTGATAAGGAATGATGCCCCTCAGTAGAGAGTATCCCAGCTACTTTATGGCAATTTGTAAACAATCTAGTCTGGACCAGTCATTCAATTGATTGACATGAGCTTCAATCGACACAATATAGGTATGATAACTTGCATCAGCCTGACAACCCCATACTGTTGGACAGTGGACCATTTGTATAGGAACTGCAAAAGGTTTTAATGCCCTCAACATCTATATATGTATTTCAGTACAGATATGTTTTTGTTAATACCTGTGTACAATATGGACATTAAAAAATGTTTATTTTTCCTGATCCTGACTCATGCTGATTGCTTGTCTCCCTTTCCTTCTGAATGCTAGTGGAACACTTGAATCCCCTTTTGAAGCTCCCTTCAAAAAAGCGGACGTAAAATCACTCACCAGGAGTCATCTCCCTTCCCCAGGTTTTGGCGGGAAAACGGCGCCACCTGTCACCATGCTCCTCACTCTCTCCTGATTCGCCCGAGTGGGTGGTTGTGAGAGCACCTGGTCCCCTATACGGCATTATATCCTTTTATTATTTAGGCCTTTCTTCTAAATTAACTGTATAAGGCTTTAGTTAGGTGAGGTGAAATTGGGTTTAACGTCGTGCTTGAGAATATTTCGCTCATATGACGACGTGCATGCGTGTGAATGTGTATGTGCGGCTGCTTGTACTAGTCCAGACTGAAGCTGGTTTTATAGTGCTAGCCCACTGAGATACCATGCCGCAGTGAAGCATGAATACCCCACTCAGACACATTATACTGACTCCGAGCCGACCAGTCCTTGTTGTACCCATTAATGCAGAGCGCCAGGCAGGGACCAACAAGTACCATATTTTAACATCTTTTGGTATGACGCGGTCGGGGATCGAACCCGCGACCTTCCGCTCTCCGGGCGGACGCTCTAACCACTACACTACGGAGGCGGCCGGCTTTAATTAACGTTTACCTACAATATTCTACGGAATTTATTCTCAAATTTCTCTGCTTTATAACGTTTTTACGTGATTATTCACATTGTTTACAATTGATGAAATCTTGTTCTGGTTGTAGGTATCGATTGTCTGCTGTTGATCCACATAACCTATGTCCTAATTGCAACCCGTATGTTTATCTGACACTCGTTGTCAGTTGTGTTTTCACCTGTCTGATATTGCATTTTACAAATATTCATATTATCTGTCTAGACGTGCAAAGGACAGGTCCAGACGAGATTTACACGACATGTCTAAACCGGCTAAGCTTGCAGAGGACCGGCAGTTGGTGTCTGCACAGATTCACCATTCCAGTGGTCTACCGGGGTCGTCTACGTCATCCGTCTCAGATGTGTCGTCGTTACAACAGACAACGCAGACCTTCAACCCGGGCTCCTTTATGCAGCAATTTACCCAACAGATGTTGGATCTGATGGAACAACGGTTCGCACGCCAGAGAGCTGCGACGAAGACGACGTCTGCTACGAACCCTAGTGAAGGTCATCTGAGCTGCACACCTCGTCCGTTGGGAACCAACGTCCTGCAGAGCGTACATCAAGATTCCAGCTCGACTACAGCGTCCGCACGAAAATCTGGCAGCCATACCAACGTGGAACCTGCACCGACTACATTCGGCGGAAGGACTAGACGTTCGCCGAACCCATGTAGATCACCATCGACGTCAGATACGGACGTTCGTCACGAACCTGCACGCAAGCATGACTACAACGTCCGCGCGAAGGTCTGGAAGTCCTACCAACGTAGAGCCTACACCAGTTACGTTCGGCGAACACTCAAGGACAAGACGTTCGCCGAACCCACGCAGATTGTCACCTACCTCAGATGCGGACATTCGTCACAAACCTGCACGAAGGGTTTGTTACCAAGGAGAAGAGAATCTACACCGTTGCGAAGGCACAGAGATTCGTCACAAGACTCCAACCCTCGACAGCTGTTCACCTCCACGCAGGTTCGCCACGAAGCTCACCACGCAGGTCTCCATACAGATCACCAAGCAGATCACCACAATTGATCTTCATACAGATCGCCTTACAGATCTCCAGACACTAGGAGACATCAATCCTCAGAGCATGATACTGCTAAATTGGAAGATGACGGCGAATTTTTTTTTTTTTTCCGACTCTGAAATCAAGTCATGGATGGCCAACGGTTTGGGACTCGCATCACCCTCTAAGGAGGCCAATGAAGCACTCTCGTACTTGATGTTGAATGATGATATAGACACACTCATGATTCCACCTATCGACCCTGTCTCACAGTTAGACACAGTAACCAGACGAACCTTCTTCGGAGCTATCAACGAGACCCTCATCTCGATCATGCAGATCTTCAGGCAGGTCTTCAGGCAGATCTTCAGACTGATCTCCAGAAAGGATTCAGGATCTTCAAAAAGATATATCTACATCAGAAGAGGGTAGCAGAATTAACTGCACAAAAACTCTCCTCGACACTGAGTACCTACACATTCATGAAGGTTAAAGATGTTTCTTAAGAATCCAGGAGGGACTCATGTCCATATACAGATCATTCACCTGCGTGCAGATCTTCAGGCACTCACGTCGTCGCGGATCAGAGATAACGACTTGATAGATAATACCGGAGAATTTCAGCGCAACCTTGGTAAGGTTATGAAGTTCCACAGTCAACATATCCCCGACGTCCAAGCCAGGGAATTCCCACTACTCCACATGGAACCCTTCATGAAGGCTTCAGAGATTGATGTGAACTACAAGATCATCAACTACCGGGGTAGAACTTACACTGAAGTTATAAGTATCAACTCTACAAAATCCTTTGTGTATTCAACACAAAGGGGTTTTTTTTACGACACTTCATTAAGATCGATGAATACAGTCTACAAGCAACAGCGTTAAGCAAGTATGGAATTTCAACTGATCATCTGTATAAGATGACGACTGCATTATCTTCAGGAATGAAGGAACAGTCACAGCAGCCAGGGAGACAGTCTACCTACAGCTGTATCACGTGGCGGAATTTTTCGCGCGTTTACCAATCAGCCCTCTATACAAGTGGTCACTTGTGTAACTTCGGGAGGTTATGGACAAGGCCGAGTGTTGATGAAGAAATCAACGACTGCACAAGATTTTACAAGGATCTTTTTCCTGCAACACCGATGACGTCACATCGCGGGAATCTGAAGGATTCAAAATGCTGCATTTTGATTGGTCCATGAGAGACAACGCCCTGCGCAGAAGTCGGACATCGCTCACATGTCAGGAAGTTGTCCACAGATTGTAAACAACATTTCAACGTGGGAGGAGGACTTCATTTACAGTCCAGTTGGCAGGGTACAGCGTGATTTGACTGTCTTACGGGATTTAGAGACCTTCCCTGTTTATCTGGCGTTCCCTGTTTATCTGGCGAATTGCAACAACATACGTTTGACGAATTTTGCTCGCGGCAGCCAGTCTACTATATATAGACTTCACAACGATGGCAGTCCCAGATCCGGATGTTGCTTCGCTTCCTTTACGGACATGGCAAGGGTTCCACTGTCTACGTACTTACAACATAGAACATGAGCAGATTCTGGGAAGATGTTTCATCTCACCACAGAATGACAAGGTCGTCTCAGAGGATCGTTGGGTCTAGATACAAGTCATCGTATCTCAAGCACTACTCTCTCCGTTACCACTACGAAGTTGACAGAGCCTACTCAGTCTTCTAACGTCAGCACAAGACATGACTCACAGAGGAAGACAACAATTGCGCCCACTACAGGTGTTCGTAAACGCCTGTTTTAATAGTCTGGACTCCTTCGGACTACCGGACGGATTGAAACCATAATTTCTATGGTGGACTCGGAAGTCGAATATTTGCGGAGGAATCTACTTATCAAAGTGGAATGCAACACTCATCTCTAAGTAAATGCATCACTTCAAGGCTGGGAAGCTCACCTCGATAACGAAGTGGCAGCAGGAAATTGTTGAGTCAGGAGCAATCTGCATATCAACATGCTTCAGATGAAAGCAGTAGCAAAGGCCTTACTACACTGGTCCAACATACTAAGGAATGCACAACTGATGATCCACACGGACACAGTGGCGTTCTACATCAACAAACAAGGATCAACAAGGTCAAGATATCTACTAGACCTCAGCTTTCATCTGTTCAGCATAATAGATGACTTGAACATCTACATAAGAGCATGCCACATTCTTGGAGCCAAGATTGTGATAGCAGACGCCCTATCTCGTCATAACACAACCATCCCCGACGGAATGGATGTTACATCCAGAAGCCTTTAGATACATCATACAGACGATAGATTTCTGCTAATAGACCTGTTTTGCAACAAAATTCAACAAACAGCTTCCAACATTCGCCTCTCCGATTCTCGATCCACAAGCATGGGCAACAGATGCTCCAAGCATCTCCGGTAGGACTAAACGCTTTAGGCTTCCTCCTCCAGCTCTAATACCAGAGGTGTTGCAGAAAATCAAGCAGACGAGGAAGCTGGAACTGATTTGATCGCGACCTTACTGGCTAGCTTACAATGTGGGTTCCTATTCTCACACAAGAATTTGGAAGTCCAAAACTGCAACTCTCAGAGTGGCCGAACCTACTGATACATCCGCACACCAAGCAAGCACACGGGAACCCCACAGTGTGCCAGCTACACACATGGAGTGTATCAAAACTTGCGTGACGAAAGGAGAATGCTCCGCCAGAGCAGCGAAAGCAGTTACGCTAGTTTTACGCAAATCTACCCGCACCTTGTATAACGACAAGTGGCAGAGTTTTGAGAAATACGCCTTGAGAAAAGGCTTCACAGCGATGAAAGCAACTCATCCTCAAGTGGCGGAATATCTTTGTCATCTCAGACAAATAATACAATTAAAAGGTTCTACATACCTAGCGGCCCTCAGCTCAGTAATCACCAGGAAGCCAGGTGTTAAACTGACTATAGTACCAGAAATACTGGCCTTACTACGATCCTTCAATTTGGAAGATCAACAAAGGAAGTTTAAAGCGCCGGCTTGGGATCTTAACGTAGTTCTACAGCTTCTCACCAGTGATGCTTATGAACCACTAGACAGGACATCCTATGAGTTTCTTACACAGAAAACTCTCTTCCTGATAGCTTTGGCAACAGCAGCAGGGATGTCAGATATACATGCTCTAGACTTTGAATGTATACGTTTGATGCACATCACAACATCGTTCATCTGGGATTGAGTTCGGACTTCATAGCTAAGAATCAACTGCCAGGTCAACCCGACAGACAGTCCCACGTCCCAGCATTATCATCAATCCCTGGGCCACAGGATATCCAGGACCTATCCTTATGCCCAGTCAGAGCACTGGAAATCTTTTTACAAAGATCTAAAAACAGGAGACGAAAATTCAAACGCCTTTTTATCCCTATATCGGCGGAGACACCCACAGAGATCTCACGCACTACGATATCGTTCTGGATGAGAGCAATCATCCTTAGAGCCTACAAGGCAGCAGGACTTGAGCCTCCACGAGCCTACAATCCTCTTGAAGTCAGAGCATTAGCATCTACGCTCGCCTTACATGGAAACTGCTCAATATCTACGATAATGGAAGGCTGCTTTTGGAAGTCAGAGACGGTGTTTGCCAACCACTACTTCAGAGACATCGTTTCGAAGACGTCTCCGGAATTCACCAATTGGACCTCTTGTGGTAACACAACTAACGGTTCCACAAAGGCGCTGAGAAGGATCTCACCCCTTTATCACGTGACTTGCAAAGCCAACGTTCTGGAGAGCTTTAGAGTCCATCGCACGTCTAGGACAGACCAGCATGAGTGATAAACCCTGTACTTGTAAAAGAATTACTCGTACATGAAGAAGGATTGCTTCTCCACTTGATGCTAGCATCAAGAGATGGAGTTGCATAAATCCACACATAATGTCAGCAGAAGAAACGTTCCAGCAGATCTGACAAGTTGTGGTCCCCCCCAAACTCATCAGAAAAAGATGGAAATAAGGATCAGCAGCAGCAGCAGTGCCATCAGAAGTTCCCATGGGGGGTAAATAGGACGTAAATTCATCACTAAGGAATCCAGAAGTGGCTTGACCGACCACCAACTCCGTCGGATTCTACAAGCAATAAGCATGAGTCAGGGTAAGGAAAAATATGTAATTTTCTGATTAAATTGATATTTTATACTTATCCTGACTCATGAGGTGAGCCCTCCCAACCTCCCCTCAAGGCACTCTGGATTTCCCAGTAAATCAGTGTGTCGGACTGTAAAATACGGAGAGAGTGAGGAGCATGGCGACAGGTGGCGCCGTTTCCCCGCCAAAACCTGGGGAAGGGAGATGACTCCTGGTGAGTGATTTTACGTCCGCTTGTTTGAAGGGAGCTTCAAAAGGGGATTCAAGTGTTCCACTAGCATTCGGAAGGAAAGGGAGACAAGCAATAAGCATGAGTCAGGATAAGTATAATATAACAATTTTATTCAGAAAATTACATATTTTTACAGACTGGTAAACTCAAGTTTTGACAGTTTTCCTTTGCATAATGATCAATACAAAAGTACTTAAGGTATATCAGAAAGTACTGACTCACTCTAACACTGACAAGCAAAGGTGATAAAAGGTGAAATTTGCTCTTTTAATAAACTTATCACCACTTTTTTTTTTTCTTTTTTTACAGAAAATGAGATGAAAAGTCCTATCCCAAGCACTGGACCATTAAACACTGGACGATTAAGACGGAAATCTTCTGCAAAAGAAGGAGATGAAAACTGCAAAATTCAGTGAAGACTATATGCGCAGTGAACATATGCCATTGAACCTCCTCTAATCTACAATATAAATTGTAGAGACGCAGAGGACAGAAGTTTAACAATTTGCTTTATGAAGGAATGGGAACTTCTTTCATCCCAGTAGTGATCAGGACATAAAGAAATGGAACAACCAGCCCAGTGGTGCAATGACAAGTTTGTGGCTTTGATGTGACTTGAGTACTCTATTGACCTTTTCTACCTTTTTTCAGCCTTTCGCCATCAAAATGAGAAGGATTAGAGCTCGTAGATCCACACAGACAGACTCACATTTGCTGTGCAGGAACAGGAAAATAATGCAGAATTCCATTTCCCAACAATTTAAACTATAAGATTGTATGCTGCCAGGGTTGGTTAATTTTGTATAATGATTAGTAAAAGACATGCCATCATAGAGAAAATGTTTGTTGTGAACGTCACATTGTGTTATAAGGGGGCACAGGTGCTGTGCAAAGTTGCAGCCCTTGGGCATGCATGAATGTCTCAGTATCATCTACATTTAACTTAGACACAATATAATAGAAATACAGTTCACCAAGTTATAATTTGTCTTTGGCAACACATGCTTGTCCAAAAAGGTAGCTATTGGTTAGGTGGTGAGACTCCTGACTTGTCATTTTATGCCATTTGTGTAGATTGATGCTCATGATATCGATCACTGGATTGTCTGGTCTAGACTCAGTTATTTACACACTGCCATCACAGAGCTGGAATATTGCTGAGTGTGGAGTTAAACAGTTCAAAGCAGCATTAAACACAATGCACCATGTCACAGAAGCATTTCCAAAACAAACAGTTAGGGAAATTGTTTCACTGTGGCAAGTTGATTAAAAAAATCCTTGAACAGGACCCATCCTAGAAGACTCAACACCAGAAATGATGCCAAGATACAGTGGTTTGGTGATGATCAACATGCAAATGACTGAGCATCCTATGCTAGGAGACACATTGCAGGAGAGAGTACATTCCCTTATTTTAGAAAGTTTGGAAATAAACTATCAGCTCATTTGTTTCTAAAGCTTCTGAAGTGTGGTAAAAACAACACCTGTCACGTGTCTTGTGGTAGTCTAGTTGTTTGTAATTTGAATCAAAAAGGTTCTTGCAATAGTTTGTGAAAGATGGGTTAAACCCATTCAGTTACAAGTTACAACAGTGGACGCACCCTCAACAAACAAGTTAAAGGCAGTCACATAAGCTGGAAAGCTTATGACCTATCATAATATTTTACCATTCATCTGATCAATGACAAACAGAGCTACAGATAACATTTTGGGTCATTGAGTTATGTACTCGCTTGTGCTCATCTCAATTGGGTATCCTAATTTTCCTTTGAGTAATCAAATAAATTGTACCCACCTCATTCAAACTCAATTGGGTATTCCGTCATTTTCCATTAATTGTAAAAATATAATGACGCTTAAATGTTATTTATATTGGATCTGTAATATGAGAAACTATAAGAAAGACTGCAAGTTGCCTAGTTCATGTGTTGAAATAGAACCTCTCAATGTACCTCAGTTATTTTATCTATGCACCTGTACGCAAACAAAGATTTGACATTTTTGTGTGTACGCATGTAAGATAAAATATATTGAGTATTTACAAAAATTCAAGCGTACTTGTACGCAACAGGCTTGGTAAGAATTGAGTTTTCACATAAATGTTTGCGTAATTTACGCAGATACGCAGCTTATCTGTACCTCTGGACAAATTCATTGACAAAACCCATACCTGGTAAAAGGAGACAGAGCAGGATGCCTGAAAAGAGAGGCAACTAGTTAATTGAAGATACCAGGTCACCGAAAACAGCTTGGGGTATGTTCCATATGTCAACCATAGATTGGCCCAACTGAGCAAGCATTACAAGCTGATTGTGGTCCTGGTAGGCATCTTTCCATCAAATCTCAAACATGTTCTATGTGGTGAAACAGACGGAATACAGTAAAATACAAAATGCATCAGTGACAGCCATTCTTTCGACTTGTATCATATATACTGAACAACTGTCTTTCCTGTATGGTGTAACCCGTTAATGTCCGGGTTAGAATGAACCATCAGTAACCCATGCTTGTAAAAGGCGACGAGCGGGATCGGGTGTTGTGCCCTTAAACCTACAATGTTCTTAAGTGCACAGAAATCATAAATAAACATGAGTGGGCGGAGCTTATGTGACCACGTCATACGTGTTTCATACGCACTACTTCTCTCTTGAACACGGAAGTATCTTTACTTCTGCTGAGTCGTGTAAAGTTGAATAGCGTGTAATGAGAGTGCATTTTCCCCTACAACATAACAGCATTTCCTTCCATACTACCATTTATAAATATTAAAGAAAATATAGCAATATTCAAATGTTTGTTAAAAGTTCCCTCGAAAATTTGCAAGGGACAGTTCATAATGTATAGCTGGGCTGGGATCGAGTGATGATGATTTTTATGGAGAAGCACGTACAATGTGAATAACAGTCCCACCCCACCCCTCTTCCTTCATGAAAACACACCAAGTGCATGTATACAAAATTGATGACGCCTCCCACCCTCCCTCCCTCCCTCTCTCTCTCTCTCTCTCTCTCTCTCTCTCTCTCTCTCTATGTATCATTGTCTCAAAGACAGAGGAAGGGATTGTTATGTGTCACCCACATTCTAGATGATTGTTGATCAATCTGTCAAGTCATAATTGCACTTTACTTTAATCAATCAGTACATTCATAAACTGTAGAATAAATATATAATACATCTTCGTCATGACAGAGCCTGTTTTGTTACCACTATGCAGCAAGACTAACAGCATACACATTAAATATTTAGATGTAACATCACATGTCAGACATTATTCACATATCATGAATTACACATATAAAACTTTCTTCGTTCTGGCAAAGGGCAACAGTTTTACATGCCTTCCATGGCAGACATGCAGAGACTTAGTTGCCAGTATGTGCAGCCTTAGTTAAGTACTAACTATCACAAAAGTAATATAACAGCCAGTATCATGAAATACAAGAAATATGGCATAACTTTACTATTCCATTGTTTACTACATGCCACATATACTAATATCAAACCATCAAACTATATCAAATCATACTTATAAATCACATTGTCATGCAGCGTAAAAAAAATGTCACTGAAAAGGTGGTCCAATTGTTCAGCAGGACAATAAGCACAAATGGGGAACACAAAAGCACAAAATGTTTGTGTGGGAAAATTAATGGAAACTTCTGTTCTGCTGGCAAAATAAATACAAATTCTTGCTGAGACTATTTTACTGCTTCAAAACAGAAGTTCCTTAATTTGTCTCCATTATGGAGGTGTTACTCAGCTGACATCAGAATGCCAGAACAATTATCAAAATACATCAAACAAATCAGTAAACTGCATAATGAATGCACTTGAATCATTCCTGTAGTCCATCAAGATAACTGTCATCACTTGTCATCTACAATGATGGGGACACCTCTTCCTGGTACTTGGTTCCGGTTAACCTCTCGAGGTAATATGTGGCTGCTCTGAAGTACAAAAAGATAGAAGTGTTTTTATTTATATTGAACAATTTTTTATGGATAACTTCTTTTATTTTATAAGTGTGATGTTTTGATAAGATTCTTGTACCATTGTGAACGAATGCTTGGTCACGGTGAACTACCATACTTGTATATCATGTACCTGCATCACAATATCTGGTCATATTTGGGAAGCTGTGTTATACATCAACCGAGATACATTAACTCAGTTAATGTTTTATGCTTGTTAAAAAATAGCAACAGTCAGTTTCAATGAGATAATAATAGCATTAGCAAGCTAATTTTCTTTTGGCAGTACAAACTTAAGTCCAACAAAAATCACAAGGGGAAGGGGGGAGAGGAGTTTGATGATTTTTATGGAGAAGCATGTACAATCTGAGTAACTTAAAATTTATGTACAAAGGAAGTGACCCTCCTCCCATGTACAAATACAATTATGCCCCCCCTCCCCTCCCTCGCCTTCACATTAATTTGTATATTTATAATTTAAATATAATTATGTACAAAATTGCTGCCCCGCCCGGGTACATGTGTACAAAATTCACGACTACCCCTACCTCCCAGAAGAAAACGGGTGACCCCTCCCCTTAAAATCATCACCACCCCCACCCCTCAAAAGAGTGAAATTAATCAATCAATCAGTCAATCAAAATAAATAAATAAATAAATAAATAAACATCTGTGCATAAAACAAGCACCACCCTCTATTTCTACCAATTAATTTTGTCTGAAATAAAATTCTCAACTCTTTCCAAAAAATAACCTTTATGATTTGATAGAGAAAGCATTTAACATTTCAAAAACGAAAACATCATTGAATTTTGATTAGGATAATTGCCCATATTAAAAACAGGTGTTTTGCAAAGTGAAAGTAATAAATGATTGTTGTGTGACCTATACATTCGTTATTTATTGTGAATGGATGAAAGTTTGTAAACTAAGATTTAGGAAAAGTTACAGTCAAACTAAAAATTAAATTTTAAAATGCATTAAAAGTTGCTTTACAAACAAAACAAACAGATTTTAGCTGTAATTATCAGTATCCAGCAAGGGGAAGTGTTTATTCATTACAATAAACTCCAAATCATAAAACATTTATTCCAAAATCTTATTAATGTGGCCTTTTTCAGTTTTGTCAATTCAAGAATCTGAATTGTTGGAAAAATGTCTGAATCTTTGACATTCGGGTTCTTCCTGATTATGCGTAATTAAAGCTTACTTGATGTGTAAATGTCATCTTGGTATATAACAGAATTGTTATTCTTAGTCAAAACGTAATTTAATTGTGTAGTTTGAGCAGGAGAGGAATAATTATTTTGGGTAAAATTTCAGTCCAATCACATTTTAATCAACATATTCTTTCATAAAGAATAGAAAAGGTTATGGTATCTGTAAAACTGTCAGTGGATAAAGCTTTTTTAACTACAGGTTGATTAAATTGATGGCTATACCCTAACTTTTCTGAAGCATCACATCTTATTTTCAAAATAGGGTGGTTCCTAATTAATGCACAGGGGTATAAATGAATGAATGAATGCATGCATACATACATACATACATACATACATACATACATACATACATACATACATACATACATACATACATACATACATACATACATACATACATACATACATACATACATACAAGCCATAAATAATGAACGTTCCCTTAAACGCACAGTAAACAAACAAACAAACACAAACATACATACATAAACATACAACACACAACACACACAAACACACACATAAAAAAACAAATTAAAAAAACCAATGTAACAAAAGCCATAAATAATGAACGTTCCCTTAAACGGACATTACATATACACTTTTTTCTACTCTGCACCAAGATGTAACATGTTGCAT